GTAGTGTTATGCAGGTGTTTACTCTAACGACCGTATCCTATTATCGAAAGACTCCGTGCACATTCTATTTTATTATTGCTGCTATACATGAATGTGGTCAGTTTATAGTTACCATTGGTCCGCTTGTTGTTGCCGCGTATCTAAATATTGACATAAAACGTCTTTCTGTCGTTTGGTGCAAACTACGTTTTTTTTTCATCTCAAGTTTTAGCGCTATTCCTTTGACTTGTGCATGTTTCGCTACTATTGATCAGTTTCTAATTACATCAAAGCATGTCTGGTTTCGTCAATGGAGCAGTATGAAAAATGCGTATCGTGCATCTTTGTGTATTATTGTAATCTGGTGGCTTCATGGTACCCTCTGGTTATATTATCAAGACATGTCATCAATTACAGGCGCTTGTGTGTACCGTAGTCATGCCTTTCATACTTATGCTGTATTTTTCTTCTGTATTGCTCTCGGTAGTCTTCATATTTTAATTATGATGGCATTTGGAATTTTAGCTTATCGAAACATAAGAAAAACAACTATTCTCTCACGCCTTCATATTGATCGACAAATGACAATCATGGTTTTCATGCAAGTCTTGCTTGTCCTTATAGGTCTTAGTCCGTTCGATATTTATAATGTTTACGCTATTATTACAATGCATGTTCAAAAGAATGTTGATCGAAAAGCTAAAGAGGCCTTCGTCTCCAGCATTACTTATCTTTTTACTTCACTGACTTATGGAGTAAGTGTTTTGTGAATTACAGTATTCATTTTTTGTCATATGTTTTAGGGACGATTCTACCTATTCATGTTTTCCTCTCCTCGTTTTCGTCGTATGGTGAAAAATCGAATCTTATGGCGGCGATGATCACGACATGCTGTTCCTGTGACATACCAATTTTCATGTTTCTCATTATCTTGTTGCTCATTTCATTGAACATGTCATCGAGTATTCGTATTTTCTTCGATGAAAAAAAACTCGCTACTCTTCATATTGAAGTCGTAAGAATAATTTATGCTTCAATATGATTAATAATCATGGCGCTCACATTTAATATTAACATGAAAGACGTCATCGAGTTGTCTTGCTTTTGGCACTTGATTAATATTTACGTATTGGTTATATGGGACGCTTATTCAATCATTCATGACAGTATCCAATTTTCTCCTTCACTGTTTTTTGTTTTTATGAATTTATGATACCAAGTTTTGGTTTTACTTTTCACGTCTTATTCTTATGTTCCCACAGCAATAATTAAAGAAGAGAGCACGATTATAATACTCTATTTTTACGAATTCAATAGTTAAAGACCGAAAGTAATAAGATTAAAATAAATAATTCCTATAAGAGTATGACCAATGGACGAAATATCTACGTGGCGCATCATGTGTAACGCTGTCTTACATTATTGTTGAAAGCGATATCTTGATTTTTCTAGTATTTATGCTACGATGATTAGTCTTGTGTTTCCATTAAGTTTTGACTCGTATTCTCCTGTATTAAAAAGAAGTTGACCATCGAAAAGAAGTCCTTTATGCACAAAATAGCATTTAAAAACGAGAAAAAAAAAGACTACAAGCATCCAATAAAGAAAGAAGACCTTGGTGGTAAGATGTGAAAATGTCGTAACCGACTTGAAAGAGCAAAATGTGATCTTAGTTTGGCTCGCTCGAACTTCGTAATGATGATGTTCACCTGACATCATTGGGTTGACAAACAAAGTCTATCGAAAACAACCAATGCATTGAAGGTTGTTGCAGATGCCTCGAATATGAGTTATCTTATTCAGAATACGAAGCTATTCGCAGCTTAGAGACCAGTTTTTTTACTATGAGCACACCATATAAAGCAAAAGCTTCTGCACATTCTATACTTTACTAGGTGGCTATAAGACAGTTAGCTGGAGCTTCAAAACTTTCGAACATTGATTATTTTTAGTTTCGAATCAAGTTTTACTGTGATTATCATCGATTCTATTGGAATTGAAAGATTCATACATTGCATCAACAGATCAATTGTTTCGGTGAAAAGGAAATTGCTTTCATAAAAACTAGTTCATTCGAATGCTGATATAGAAGACTTTCTTCCATCACACAAAAGAGATCAGTCGGCTATGACAAGAAATGAAGGAAGAATCGGTTTGCCATTCTAACAAAAACAATGGATCATTTTCATGATGTAAGAGCGTTTATCTCTCCTTTTCTCGAGTCTTGCCAATTTTGTGTCAATCATTTATTTTCGCATTATCAATCGAAGTCAATGTTTGAGTTTAAACAAAAGTGGAATGAAGAAGTTCCATCGAATATCTATTCTTCACATTTATCAAAAAGAGAATTTGAGGGTGCTGAAAGTGATTTAGATTTCGTCATTGAATAAGTAAGACAGTTGTATTAACATTAGGGCAGGGAGTGGATATCGGTGTAGTTTTGATCTCCTTCAACCAGCCGCACCGATACCGAAAACCAGTAATAAGAATTTTCACACCAGCATGAAAATGATTTCGCGTCTTACAACCAATCTTAACAGATGGAAAAAACCGAATGCATTACGCAGAACAAATCGATGAAGGAATAATAAATACATCGAAGTCGCAATCATCTTTTGTTCGTTCCTCATCAAATCTATGTGTGCTTCAGAGAGAGAGAGAGAAAGAGACTCACTACATTTTCTCTTTTTTTTTAAATTCTTCTCGTCGGTAAACATAAACTAGTGTTACTTTCATCTACCACGTGAAAAGCGACCAAAAAGGAAGAAAAGACAGAAAACATGATCACGTGAGTGAATTGAGAGGTTTGTTGGCTTGCCCGTGATAGAAAAGAAACAGTTCTGTTTGACTCGAGTTTAATGTCGTCCACATCAAAAGCTGATAGAGATACTCGAATTCAAAAAAATCATCCATCATATTTGGAAAATAGTGTAGTCGTCTGGTTCGATATCAGTTTCAATGAAGAACATCTTGGAGAATCAAGGATACTACTTCAACAAATTGCTAATCATATACAAACATTTACCAATTCAGATACTTGTATTGATTACGTTACTAATATCAGAGATGAACGTATTTTATTGATTTTGTCTGGACCGAATATTGAGCAAATTTTACTGATTGCCTGTGAACTGTCAAATATTCATTGGATCTATTTATTTGACATAGATAAGTTCTCATTTAATCAGGCAGAAAAGGTAAAAGGAGTTTTCAAGAATATTAATACACTTTGTGAGAAATTGAAAATGAATATAAGTCAACTTGAAACAGAAATGATGGAATTTGAAGTTTTTGGAAAATCAATTATCACAATATCTTTTTGCGGATAATTCAAATAAACAAGAAGCAATTTTTATGTATACTCAATTATTAAAAGAAATCTTTCTCGAAATGAAGAATGATAATGATGACAGTATTCCAGAATTGATTCAAATGTTACGCATGGAATATAACGATAATAGAGCACAACTTCAATTTATTAATGATTTTAAACATAATTACAATCGTAATCAAGTCATTCTATGGTACACAAGAGAAGGACCACTCTATAAAGTAGTCAATAAGGCGCTTCGTACTCAAAATATTGATATGCTTTACCAAATGCGAACATTTCTTCGACATACACATGAGCAGCTCTCGAATTTTATCATATTCAAAAAGAAACAATTTCTATGAGAACAATAAAACTTTATCGAGGACAACAGATGTCGAATGCTGAATTCGAGAAAATGAAACGAAACAGTGATGGTCTACTGTCCGTATCGAATTTTTTTTCAATAACAGAAAATTGAGAACTTGCTCTGATGTTTGCTGGTACATCACATGATGATGAAAAGGCAGTTTTGATGATAATTGAGGTTCATTGGATGAACGAATCATTTATTAGTCCGTTTGCTGCTGTTGGAACATTGAGTCATTTTGGTGAAGCTGAATAAGAATGGATATTTTCTATGGGCACTATTTTTCGAATTACACATGTTCAAATGATGTCCGATCAAATCGAATGTATTCATTTGAAAATAACTGATGAACAGTTGAGCATTATGACAGAACATTTACGAAAGACGATTCAATTAAAACAAATCGATCTAAAACTTTCACTTGCTACATTACTATTGCAAATTGGTCAACATTCAAAAGCAGCCGAATTTTATCAAATGCAACTTCAATCAGAAAAACAATGGTCAAATCGTGCTAGAATTTTGATGAATATAAGTGTCGTTGCGGCCCATTTATATGCTCATAATAAAGCTCTTAATTATTATTAACAAGCATTGGGTATATTCCATCACGAAGGTAAAGTATCTAATGATGATTTTATTTTAGCCGAAATTTACATTAATATGGATACGACCTATCGACAAAACGGCGACAAGGAGCTTGCGCTTCAGTATTATCGTCGTTCGTTGGATCTTCAATTGAGTAAACCGGAGACAAATTACAATCAACCATTGTTCATTCGTACTTTGGATAATATTGCTCATTTATTGCAAGAACAAGGTCTATATGATGAAGCATTACTCAGATATAATGAATTATTGAATTATATGATTAAAACTTTGCCATCTATAGATCCATATATTGGTAGAATACAAAAACGAATCTCTTAGATTTTACTCGAACAAGGTCGCTTTGAAGAAGCTTTGCAAAATATTAAAAAATTTCTTAATATTCAAATGGCTTCGTTACCTGAAGACCATATTGATATTGCCGTAACGTATAGCAGTCTTGGAACGATTTCTATGCGTCAAGAAAAATATGAAGATGCTATTTCGTATTATCACCGTGCACTTTCAATTTATCTGCAACATTTTCCTGTCGATTATCCTATGCTCTCAGTCACATACGATAACATGGGCACCGTTTATCGTGAGCAGAAACAATATAACTAAGCACTCGAGAATATATCGAAAGCTTTTCATATTGATAGTGCTTCTTTGTCTTCGAATCATCCCGATTTTGCTTCGACATGCACGAATATGTGTCTCATTCTAATTGATCTCAAATGATACGAAGAAGCCTATGTTTATTGTAAACAAGCTATTAATATCAATAATGCTAATCTACCTCCAGAGCATCCGTCATTTATTATTTTATACAATCAGCTGGCATATATTCAATCCAAGAGAGAGGCGTATGAAGAAGCTGTGTAAGCATCTCAGAAGTCTGTGAATATCTGTTGGTCATTGTTTGGACCGAAGTATCCTGATAGCATTAACGGACGCATCCGATTACCTATGTTTCTTCTTAAAAATAATCGTTTTGAAGACACTCTGAATTATGCTGTTAAAACTCTTGAACTCTCAATAGAAGCTTTTGGAATGACTCATCCAATTAGTCATAAATGCCAAAGAGCAATAGAATTCATTAGTAGCCAAATATCATAAAAGCTATGCTTGATATTATGAACTTCCTTTTTTTCGTAGAAAATATTTCTCGTTAACAATATGCTGTAAGTGTTTTTATGCATGAATAAAAACCAAATGAAAAAAATAAATTCCGACATTGATATCATCCTTTCCTTCAACTTTCATAAAACTTAGATATGAAGCGCTGGTGCTAAGTGCTAAGATAATATACACTGCTTGCTTACAGCAAGAGTACGGCCTTTCATTAAAAATCATGCTCGATCGAAAATCTCTAGTTGAGCATAAACTATTTGAATCATATTTTGTGAAAATAAATTGTAGATCAGGAATTCTTCTAATGATTATATCAATTCGTTTTATTTCTTGAAAACTGTATTATCGGCATATACCATACACAATATGCCTATTAGGCGTCGATATTAAACGCTTCTTATAATTCAATTAGCACGAGGTATGTGGTTGTAGCCGCGCAACGGACTTGCCGTTTTCTGTTCTGTTGCTGCGTACTCCATCTTTTCTTTGATCAACTGGTAACAAACTGAAGATTATGTATGCGTAAAATGTTGTCTTGCTTAGACCTTATCGATGAGCATTTCAGTGAGAAAGATCTAGTAAATCATTACAATTTGAAAAGCTTTCCGTTATGATCGAGTTTGTGGAGTACAAGATGTGGGTCGGTGGATATGCGGCTGATTGTGCATGAAAGTTGATTACGAATGATTTTTTTATACCCAAACCCATAGCTATTTCAACACCAACATTTAGTTCTAGGATGTTTTGCGATGCAACTTCCATGTAATCTTCAACTCAAGTGTGACCGAAAAACATCTTAAGAATGCTGCAATGCATTGACACCAAAAAGAGGTTGAGAAGAAATGTTGACTATCCTTTTGTTGATTCTTATTTTTGGCGGCGTTTTTACGAAAAACACGTTTTGATTCTGTATTAGTATGAGTTATATTTCGCTTGAGAAAAGTGCGTATTACGTGAAACATTGAATCGCGTTGAAAACATGCTGAGTGTTCAAGATACTAGCTTGATATAATTTTGATTTTTGTATTGCCAGTATTCTGTGCATTAATTAACAGCTATAAAATACAAAATTTCATGTGTTTTTGTGACAAGTGCTTTCTAAAGTAATAAACTTCTCATTGTTGGTATTATAACGCAAATCAATTGAAAATCCAAGTAACTAAACGTGCATCATCTGTTCTCACGGCTACCTGGGCAGTTAGTAGCCTAATATTGCTTTAAAGTGATATAAAAAAATTGAAGATGCTAAGATTAATAGAAATGTTTACTTATTGTTTTATTTGCTCGCTTACAAATTAGTAAACTGAAAAAACAAACATCGATTTTGTAGTGAGAATCCACGATTAAATCATTATGGAAGTCATCAGAATCGATGGGGTGAAAAGATGAAATCTATTATGAAATCAAGTTTTGCAATACTTGAAATATTTATGTAAGACAAGAATTAATTTAATTAAAATCTTAAACAATAATATCAAAATAAGTAAATTATTACCATAGATCAAACATATGACTAGCATTCGATAAAATTCCAATAGACATTTTCATTTTCGCAGAACTTGAATGGTAAAGCAACTAGCCAGTTATCAGAAGATATTCGGATCGTCCGCTAATCCGATAAATCGACATTGTGAACAAAGAAATGGCAGTTCATTCTATTTTTGAATCCAACTAATTTTTTACCCTCATTTTTAAGTTGAAAACCTTCCTTTTTTTTTACTCTGTATGTTACAAATTCTACACAAATGATAGTAACATCTTTTCTCGGTCAAATTTTCACGAAGGAAGAAAGAGATTCTTGTTGTATTGATTTCTAACTGATAGTAACCGGTTTCATGACGGAGGTGAGTGAAGAACAGAGATATATCGTAAACAGAATGTTTTATCAAAATTGCAGACATAGAAAATGTTTTCATTATATGAAGTATTGAACATAGTCCACAACCAGAACTTGACTTCGCAAGATCATTTTGTATAATGATGAAAGCGAACCAAACGTTCGATGTTATAGAAAAAAATTTCTTAATTTATTATTTCCATAATAATAAGTTAGATTGCTACTAAGCCTCATTTGTCGAGTGAATTTTTTCGTATAAACACATATTTAATGTCATCCTTGAAAGCCTATACCTTTATATTGAATCTATTTCATTATTCAGACAATGCAGATGAAGGTGAAGATGACTATTAACAACATACAAATGTGATTGCCACTTGTATCTATTTGGTAGTAATCTTTTTCAGTCTTGCGGTTCTTATTCTTGCTATATCGTTATATCTATAATCAAGAATTGTAACGATTGAAAATTCCAGTCAAACTCAATTTGAATCATTATCAAATTCTACATGTTCACGTTCGCACATATCTATCTCATATCTGGTGAATTTGTATCGATACAGCCTTCATTGCATCAAGTGTGCTCAAGTGATTTTACATCCAATGAATGGATCGTCTCGCTTTATGTCGTAGACAATTCAACATTCTTTCGTCGCATTGATATTCAATCATCAGGATTCTTTCAATTTCAATCACTTGCCAGTTTTTGTCGATTATCACGAGCCTATTTTAATCAAAGTCTTGTAATATGTGGATCTACTTCTTTGATCAGTCCTCAAGTCTTAGCAAAGTCTATTCTAGAGATACAAGTTCAAAGTATCATCAATCGATCGATTATAATAAACAGCACCAAATACATTTAAAACGCAGATTCAATTGATTAGCAGCATTGTCTCAAGGAAATAATCGTCCTATGGATGATAATGAAGATAATTGTTATTGTCAAATACCTTTTCCTTGCTCTGGTTCATCGGGCATTCATCAGAACATCAACATTGCTTCAATCCAAAGTGATTTTTGCAAGGCAATAATGAATATTCCTGAATTACGTTTAGACTGTTTATCAACTGATGGAATCCTTAATTCATCATTAGAATGTTTTTTTAATCAGACTTGTGTGAATACAATCACTTGATATTTAAACATCATAGCTAACTTCAGCGCAATGACTACATCAATCTCAAATATTTATTTTCAATTAAATCCTACGGTCAAATCAATGATCTATCGATTCATGTTGAAGAAATCAATATATCTTATGACAAATACTACAGTGAATGTGCACTGGTTTCATGAACTTATTTAAAAACTGAACCACGTAGTTTTCTCTATGTACTAAACAAACTCATTTGTCTTTTGGAAGGACTCTAAGCTGGAATTGGTCTTGTAGTACCGTTGGCCGTTTGATCTATTCGACGAAAACGATTAATAATGAATACTAATACGATGCCACGCATTTCAAGTGAATAAGACTCTGTTTTTGAAAAAAATTATGCGCACAATGATGATTCTACTTAAGATCGATCGAATACATTTTTTAGTATAGACTCATTTGCTCGCAATGTGTTAGAAGATAGAAAGTTAGATTAGACCGAGATATTTTTGTATGTTATTAAGAATTATGCATAGTCCATATTGTACGGCAGGGAATAATCAGTTCTTTGCACTTTTGGCGATCTCTTGGAAGCCGTATTCTGTATGAAACTCGCCAGAGTGTTCCTCCTACTTTGAAAGCATACCTAGTTACAGGTGGAAATACCGAATATGTTCCTTTTCAACACGATCATAGACATCGGCTTTGGTATTCAGTGACGATGACAAAATATGGAAATTTGAAATAGGCCGCTCGGCTGAAAGACACTTTTCTCACGAGTCGGGTAAGCTAAAATTTCTGTCTGTTCATCCGGTCCAAACCTATTTCTTTTTTTCAAGTAAGAGTTTGTGTGTTTTATTAAAACAATAAATAAAAACAAAGCGTTTCTTCAATGCAATGATAATAGCCTTCAAAGGTAACAATTCCGAGACAGCT